TGGAAAGCCCAATGCCAGACTAGGCTACAGAATGAGACCTTAGGGAGAGTGAGCGTGCAACAGTAGCAACCTTAAATTCTCTTCTCCAAGGATGCTTTACAAGTCTTTTCTGCTGAAAATATGTTTCTTTCATATGAACATATAAAGAATGAGCATAGGAACATGATTGTGGGTCTGGGAATGTGGCTCAGTAGTAGAGTGCTTTCCTAGCTAGTATGCATGAAGCTCTGGTTCGATTCCTCAGTACCACATAAACAGAAAAGGCTAGAAGTGGTGCTGTGTGGCCCAAGTGGTAGAATGCTAGCCTTAAGGAATAGAAGTCAGGAATAGTGCCCAGGCCCTGAGTTCAAGCCTAGGACTTGCAAAAGACAAAAACAAAAAAACCACCATGATTGTGAAGGGGGGCATGGTGTCTACTTCTGGGCAAGTGGAGCTAGTTTGTTATTGGATCCGCTACTGGTGAAGGTAGTTACTGGTGAAGGGAAGAGGGTCTCCGAAAGGGAAGAGGCCTCTGCCTGGCCCCTGAATAATGAGTTTGTGATATCCTACGAAATAATTTGGGAAAGCACTGATGTAGAGACCAAGAAAGCTTATTAGTAAAGCATAACAAAGGTAAGATGGACAGTACACAAACCAGACATGGATGCAGGCACATCTGACAATGGGTGCAATGAGTGCTCTGACATCCCAGGTATTTATAATGAAAAAGCAGAACGAGGGTTGACTCAAATTCACCTTTTGGATGAGTACTTCTCTTTCATCTGACAGTTGGTACATTCCTTCGTTCTTGTTGTGACACTGTTTTATCAATTGTGTCCAGAGAATTCAAGGTTGGTCTGATCACTAAATGTGGGCCATGGTTGTCAAGTCATAACTTCAAACAAAGGAAGAATTCTGTCACATGCTTTAGTGCAGATGTTGGTCCTTGAGATAGCATTTTCAAACATCGTGCTGAGAGTAATCGTTTTCCCAAGTGTTCTTCCCACTCATAAGTGTTTTTGTTTTTTTAAGATATCCTTGCTCAGTCCTGGAGCATGCTATTCAGTAGACAAACAATCAGAGTTATTCCTCCTCCACAACCCCTCACACCACTTTTCCACCATTTTTGTTAAACATTGCAGCTTATGAGTGTGAGGCTTAAAGCAAAGAAAAAATAGTGCTTATATGCTTTTAAGAGTTTTTATTAAGACAGCATTGGTTTCTGAATTCCTGGCTGCTGTTTCCCCTGCCTCACTTTCCCTGATTTATCCTGCCTTGGATTCATTTTCCAGCAAGTTCATGTTTGGTAGCAATCAGCAACATCTTATGATGACTTTTTTTTTCTGTTTATTTTATTTATGAGCTTATATTAGTTATGGAGGGGGGATTTCACTGTTACAATTCCACATGTGTCTACAATATATTTAAATCAATCTTGGCCCTGCTCTCACTCTCCTTTCCCAAAATAATTTCAGCAGGTTGCATTGTTCTATTTTCATACAATCCATTTCAAACAATACATTCCAACCATATCCCTTCCCCTACCCCCTACCTCCACAGAGCCTATTTCTTTTTACCTGCCCTCCCATCTCCTTATTGATTAGTCCTTTTCATTGGGGTTCTTTATGCTATTTTCATATATGCTAGCAAAAAATGTCAAAATTATTCACCTTCCCCCTCCCTTATCCTTTCTCTCCTCCTTTTAAGTAGTCCTTTAGTTAGATTCATGGTCTATATTTATTGTGATTGTCTCAATCAATATGATTTTCTCCAATTGCATACATTTTCCTGAAAATGACATTTCATTCTTTTTATGGCTACATAATAATCATATGTGTGTGTATGATACATCTTCTTTTGATGTGTGTGTGATATTATATCTTTTGTGTGTGTGTGTGTGTGTGTGTATGCACCAGTACTGGGGCTTGAACTTAGGGCCTTGAGCTCTCACTTGGCTCTATCATATAAGCCATTCCTCTAGTCTCACTTTTTTGCTAGTTAGAGATAAGAGTTGTGTGTATTTTCTGCCCACTCTGGAATCCTCAGATCCTTCTGAGCAGAAAACAAGCATAAGATACCAATACCAGGCTACCACATATTCTCTATACATTCATCTGTTGTTGAGAGCCTTGGCTGATTCTATCACTTGATTATGGTGAACAGTGCTGCAATAAACAGATATGCAAATTCTTTCTGGTATACTGATTATTTTCTTTATAGTGTGTTACCAAAGGTAGTATGTCAAAGTCATAAGGCAGTCCTATTTTTCATCATTTGAGGAACCTCCACACTGATTTCCATAATGGTCGCACTAGTTTACATTCCCACCAACTGTATGAGGGTTCCTTTCCCCAGAATTCTCAGCAGCATTTGTTGTTGTTAATTGATGGCTGCCATTCCAACTGGAGTGAGATGGAATCTTGGTGTGGTTTTGATTTGCATTTTCATTATGGCTAAGGATTTTAAATTATGTCTTCATGTATTTATTATCTAGTTGTATTTCTTCTTTATGAAAACTTTAAAGAAATGAAATGTTGAAGCCATGCATAATGGTATATACCGATAATCTCAGCATGTAGGAGGAGGTTGAGATGGGAAGATTATGAGTTTGAGGTCAGTTTGGGCTATGTAGTAAGACTGTCTCAAACAAATAAACAAAAACACACAATGAAAATCCTGCAAAGCACCTTTTACTGGTGGTAATAGGCACTGGGTATTGTGGCTTCTCAGAACCCTCTACCCTTTCCACGTGGTTTTGTACTTGGGAAAACCAAAGGTAAAGATGAAGAAGCTTTGTAAAAACTTCCTCCTGTACATAAAGAAAAAATATCTATTTTAAAAGAAGTCTGAACCTTAGATTTCTCATCTGATGAATTCAATATTACAAATGTATGCCATAAAGGTCCAACAGATTCGTATTTAGAAAAACACAACCATGATTTAAAGGGACCTAAGTGCAAATCAGTGGTGATGAGAGTTCAGCATGCTCTCAGCTCTGGGTTCCTCCCCAGCTTGGAGAAAGAAAAACTAGGTTTACCCAGGATGAGGTGACTGTGTGCCTACAGCAAATGTTGACAGTGATTTAGCCTTGTTGCTGTTATATGAGGATTGGGGCCAGTTTTGCTAGAGCAAGGCTTAGATATATAGAGGTTTTGTTGGCTTGTTTTGGAGGTTTTTGGTTTATTTGTTTTACAGCATTAGTACTAGAAACTAGACCCATGGTTTCACAAAGCTAGGCATACTCACTTCTGAGCTACATCCCCAGCCATTTAATTTTATTTTTAGACGAGTTTTTACCAGGTTGCCCATGCTGGCCTCAAACTTTTGATCCTCCTGCCTCTGCCTCCATACTTTTTTTTCCTTTTCTTTTTTGGTGCTGGTTCTGGGGCTTAAACTTGAAGCCTGGGCGTTGTACTTTAGCTTCTTTGTTCAAACTTGCCCTCTACCACTTGAGCCATTGATCTACTTCCAACTTTTTGGTGGTTAATTGGAGAGGAGAGTCTCATGGATTATCTTGCCCAGGCTAGCTTCGAGCTGTGATCCTTAAATCTCAGCCTCCTAAGTAGCTAGGATTACAGGTGTGAGCCACTGGCACCTGCCTGGGACCTACACTTTTAAATATCCCACCCCAGACTTTCTTTGTGTGTATGGGGTAAGCCTTATATTATTTTTCTAAAGGAAGAGGCAGTATTGGGGTTTGAACTCAGGGCCTCATACTTGCTAGGCAGGTGTTTTGCAACCTTAGCCCTTTTTATTTTAGTTTATTTTTGAGGTTGGTTTTCAGTTTTGCCTAGGGCAAACCCTAGACTGCAATTTTCCTATCTCTGCCTCCCTTGTAGCTGAGACAGGTGACACTCTGTCTGGCAAACCTTATAGGATTTTGCAAAAGTATTTTGCTTTGCTTTTTTTTTTTTTTTTGTCTTCAGGATTGCATATGACATTGTGGCAAAAATGCCCACAGCCAATGGGCAAATCTAATGTACCCAAACCGCATGAAACAGAACTAAAGTACTCTTGGGGTAGTTTATTTCTCCTCAACCACAGTTTATAGGTTTAGTGGAGGTCATGTTACCAGAAAATGCTCCCTCCTCTAGACAGCTTTCCCTGAAGCCCCTAGCCAGGCTGGATTACAGGCTCTTCCAGCTTCTTACACTTCCTTGTCTCCTGCTCACTTCACATTACATCATGTGGTCATTTTCTGTGTCCATGTTGTTTCCCCCAACCCCTTCTACCCCCAGGCCACTCTGTTGGTCTTCAAGGATTCACCTTACCCCCACCCCCACCCCCAGCATCACAAGGCTAGGTACTAGAGTAGCATCAGGATGCCTGTGAATTGAACAAAATGGTATAGCCATAGGGCTGGCGATCGGTGGTTTAAAAATGTCACTCTGCCTAAACTTCCAACCCTGCACTTTTTTTTTTTTTCCGGAGACTGCTTAGGCAGGTTAGTTGTTGCCTTCTCCCTCGGTCCCCAAGGTTGGTGTTTTCTCTATAGGTTTGATCTGTTTTTCCTAGGAATGGCAGGACCTGGTTTCGGTGTTTCTCTGAGGCCAGAGCCCAGTGTCCAGCGCTCCAGTGCACCTCCCTGGCCAGGTGTAATCAAGCTCCGGCTTGTGAAAGACTCCATCCCACCCCCGCCTCAATTAACTCAGACCGCCCACACCCTTAATGGAGGCTCAAACACAACCTCACGGAAAAGAGCCTAGGGGTACGGGGATCCTCTAAACTAACACCACGGGCGTGTCTTGGCGGGCCAGGCCCAGCAGTCCAGGTCTTCACTTTGCTCCAGATCCCGACCTCGCCCCGCCCACCGGGGGGAGGGGAAGGCGGAGCCGCTGCCCCGCGCCCGAGGGTAAGAAGGGGAGCGCTTCTTGGCGGCTGGGCAGCGCGATGGGCGTGGCCTCAGGGCCGCTTGATGGGCGTGGCCTCCCTCCGGGCAAGCTCGGTGACGGCGCTAGGTCACGCCCCCTGCGGGGGGGGGAGGGCGGGAGCGCGCGCGCAGGACGGGACTCGGCCCCGGAGTGGCCAAGCGGAGCGCGGCCGGCAGAACGCAGGGCGGCGGCGCGATGGCTCCGGTCGTGGACCTCGAGGGTTACTGGGGTCCCCCGACTTCCACGCTGGACTGGTGCGAGGAGAACTACGTTGTGACCCGGTTCATCGCCGAATTCTGTGAGTGTGGCCTGCGGCGGGGAGCGAGGGCGCCGGGGAGCGAGGACGCCGGTCTGAGGGGAGACGCCGTGTGGAGAAGGCGAACCTGGCCGCGAGGGGAGGCACCAGGCCCGGCCGGGGCCCCAGGTCCCTGGGGAACCGACGGGGAGCCCCGTGTGTCTAAAGGGGACTGTTAGGGGTGGCCTGCGCCGGCTGCGGAGGAGTGGGCTTCGGATGGGTGGCCGGAGGGAAGCGGGGAGCCCCTGCCGGACCTCCTTGGGTCTGGGAATGGGAATTCGCACCTGAGTGGTGGTGGGGGGGCTGTGGGGGGGCACTCGGAGGACGGCGGGGCCCGGGAGGTCCCTGCCCGCTGCATCCAGGGCCCCGGGCACCTGCTCGGCTGGGGCCAGCTCCTCCTCAGCCAGAGGGGACACTTCCGAGCTCCATCTCCCGCGAGTGTGCGGGAACGCCGCCCTTTCCCTTTCTCTTTCTCGGTGCCCTTAGCCCTCCGCGGTCACCTGCCGGGCACAGTTCTACCGTTTGCCGGTAGCCGAAGTCACTCCACTTCCTATCTTCAAGACCCAGAAAGCCAGATGCTCTCCAAGCGTGATTCCTCCCATGTCACCTGCATTTCCCTTGCAGGAGCCGCGCTTCCTAGTCACTGCTGCACTCTGCGTTATCACACTTCCTCAGATCATCCGGGGTTACTGCTGCCACACCGAGTGCCCCTTTTGAGGATCCAGGACCCTTGCCTGCCTGCCCTGCCCTGCCTTGACACACTTTGTTGATCTATTTGTCTCTTTGTCTCTGTGTCCCCGAAAGATAATTCCTGCTGGGCTAGGAGAAACCTGCCACTTTCTTTTTCTATCTTTTTACCTTTGTCGGTTTTTGAGATCACAATGTTTGATCCTGTTTGCCAGGTACCTTCTGCTGGGCAAGGTACAGACTATTCTTTGGCTGTTCTTGCTTTCTTTGAAAATCTCTTAGGCAAAACTCCCAAAGTCCTGAAGACTTAAGGCAACCTCTTCGAACCCTTTTTGAGAGCATAGGAGTTTGGGCTTTGTAGCAAAGAGACAGTAGCTTCATGCCAGATTATCCTACAGAACTCTGTCTGCAGTGTTCGGGGCCTTAGTATCATCCCTTTGAGAGAATGACTTGGGCTGTCATTTTTCCTGAATTAGTAGATTAACTTAATATATATTTTTTTCATAATGAGAAATATGGGTAAAAGGGTCACATTACTGGGCAGCCCAGATGTTGTTGGCAAAGTAAGCATTTTACCACTTTGTGGTTAGGTCACTTTGACAAGATTACATCTGGTCAGTAGAATTATGATGGAGAGGGAGAAAACTTAAATCCATGTTCTCTTAGCTGGAACTGAGTAACTTTTCTTCTTCTCTTACTTCAGGGGTTTTTCAATAATTGGCTTCAAATATTGGGTATTGTCAAGAGTAACTTTCTCAATTTCTCTGGACTCTAGAATTAGAGGCAAAGTGGAGGAAATTATAAGGCACAGGGGAAGAAATTAAAAGGCACAGGATAAATTTTGCTTCAAGATAAGGAAAAACTTTCTTTTTTTTTTTTTGGGTCCGGTGGTGGGGCCTGAACTCTGGGCCTGGGCACTGTCCCTCAGCTCTTCAGCTCAAGGCTCAAAGCTCAAGCCACAGCGCCACTTGCGGCTTTTTTCTTTTTGCTTATGTGGTGCTGAGGAATTGAACCCAGGGCCTCGAGCATGCAAGGCAAGCGCTCTACCACTGAGCTACCTTCCTAGTCCCCAAGGAAAAACTTTCTAACCAATGATATTGTCATGTTGACTTGGGATAAGAGGACTTTGTTGCTGAAAGTGTTAAAGCAGACTTTGGTCAACTAATACATGCATTTTTTAGAAGGAATAAACTGGCCTTTGTTGGCCTGTAGAGCCCTTGCAGCTTTATTCATCTACCTAAGAAATAAAGAATCTTAGTTTAGAACGAATGTTGTAGATTGGAATCAAAAGAGAAAACTGGCAGTTGAATCATGTGGACTAAGAGAGGAAGATACTAGTGTTTTGGCAAATAGCTCCAAGAAATGGGAAATGGTTTTAGTTCTCATTGTCCTCAGAAGAGGAAACTCTGAGCAGACTTTAGGGAGGTTTTGACATAAGAATCAGAGAGGTTGCAAGATGAAGATGGGTGAATGTGTTTTAGTTCTTGTGCATGCACCTTGGGAGAAATGATCTGGAGGAAGTTGATGTCGTGTCATCTGTCATAGCAGTGGTGGTTGATCTCTTAAAAAACTCTGCTGATTAATAAAATGTTTAAAGACAAATGCAGTTTTATCATATTTACATGATTGGTAGCATTAATGACAATACTAAGGATAATTATACTAATAATAGTAATTAAATGCTCATTATTTGTTCATTTGCTAAACCTTTCATACTTTATCTCTTGATTATTACAATAATTCCAGAAGTAGGCATTACAATCCCCATTTCATAGAGTAGAAAATTGAATCTACAAGTATTAGCTTATCTGAGGTTTCACTAAGTGTGGTGTAAAAATACAATTCAAGTTGAGGTCTGACTAAATTTTTTATTGTGGTTTGACTATGAAAGTCCCCACATGTTCATGTGTTTACTTGGTCCCCAGCTATTTTTTTTTTTTTTTGATTGGGTAGAGACTTTAGAAGGTGGAACCTATCTGTAAGAAGTAGATCCCTGTACACCTGAAGTTTCTCTACTATGATATTCTGCCCAAGTGCATACAGCCTAATAACCATGTACTGAACCCTCTGAAACCAGGAGCTGCAGATAAATAATTTGACCTTTTAAGTTCTTAGGTATTTTGGTTGTAGCTACACAAAAGTAACAAACACATCTATTGTCATAAATCACCTTCCCATCATTACTTTTTATCACACATTCATTGTTTTGCTCCAGAATTCAAGGGAGTAGGACAGACATAAAGTCCTGTACAATAACAGAATAAATCGATCAACTATTCAGATTATTTAGATATCTATTCAGCTGTTCTTCAACATTAGGGTACACGCATGCACACACACACACACACACACATTTTTTTGTGTGTATGTGAATAATGTTGAGTGTTAAGGGAGTGCATATTTACAAAGGGCACTCGTCAGTTTTAGCACCTGAAAAATTACCTTTTTAATACCACCAACATAATTCAAGTTCTTTTTGTTTGAGTAGATTTTAAGGACCAGAGGAAAGGATAGAGGATCTCTCTTTAGTTTTGAAACAATAAGCCCCTTCGCGGTGGGAGTAGTTATAAGTATGGATAGTCCTTGTTTTGTGTGGGAATATGAGATACGGTAAAACCCTGCAAAGCAATGTTTATATTCAATAGGGAAAGTTACAATTGTTCTATGGCCTTAAAATTTTTTTGTTAATTGTAACTCTTACAGTTGCTTATAAATATATAAGGAAAGTGAAAAAAGTAAAACTAGTATTTAGCCCATAGTAATTTAAAATATTAAAAACAGCAAAAGTTAAATATTTTATTTCTTTGTAAAATAAAGTGAAGTAGTTTGAGCTGATTGTGGTGCTCAAACCAGTAGTAATCCTCACTACTTGGGAGGCAGAGATCCAGAGATGGAGGTGTGTGTTCAGCCTAGGCAAAACGAAGTTTGAGTGACTCCATCTCAGCCATTGGGTGCAGTGGCCTGTCATCCCCAGAAACATGCAGAAAATAAGTAGGAGGATCATAGCCTGGGCTGGGTGGGTCATCAAGTGAGACCTTACCTCAAAACAAAACAAAAACACAAAAAGGGGTTGGAGGGATAACTCAAGCGGAAGAGCACCTGCCTAGCAAGTACTAGACCCTGAGTTCAATCCTCAGTACTGCCCAAGGGAGCAGTTTTAACAGTGTTCTTATTCTCACAGGACATAAAACAAGTGTGTTTTGTATGCTTTGATGAATCCTTTTGGAATTGGAACCAGCTTAATTTTTTTTTACTTTAAATATTGTGAAATGCCTCCTCAAGGTTTGTCTAATTAGAATTTTTTTTTGTTATTATTTTTTCTAGTATCATTTCTGGAACATCTTTATCCTTTCACCAGAGCTATGGTGTTATTTGTGTTGATGAGTTTGCCTTGTTTGTTCCTGAAACTGCTTATCTAGAGTCCCTTAAATGTAGTGTCAACATTTATAAGATTACCTATTTCTTCAGTAACGATTTACATTTATTAGAATTTCACATCCAGTCTTACACTTTCTTTTTCTCTGCTTTCCTTTCATAGTTGTTGGCACTTCCTTCTTTTTATTGCTCATTTTCATAAGATATCATGTAAGTTTATTACTACGAGATAGTTATACACTTTGCTGTTTGTACAGGAATTGAATAACAGATAAATACATAGTGACTTTGAAAGCAACCGATTTTGAAAAAGTGACTTAGTCGGTCACAGATTGTGATATTCTTTTATTATTTATGTTATGATTTATGGATTGAAAAACTAGCAACAAAGTTTGTACTGTGTTCAATTAGTTAATATACAATAGTAACTAAGATTTTAATTTTGTGGTTAGGAAATTGGCTTATTTAACTAAACTCTGGCAATTAAAATCTGTGGCCATACTAGGCGCTGGTGGTCCATGCCTGTAATCCTATCTACTCACAAGGCTGAAATCTGAGGATTGAGGTTTAAAGCCAACCCAGGCAGAAAAGTCTGTAAGACTCTTATCTCCAGAAAAACTGGAAGTGGTGCTGTGGCTCAAATGATAGAGTACTTGTGTTAAGCTGAAGAGCTGAGGGACAGCCCCTAGGCCCAGAGTTCAAGCCTCACAACTGTCAAAAAAAAAAAAAAATTCTGTGGCCAGGCGCTGCTGGCTGAAACCTGAAATCCTAGCTGCTCAGGAGGCTGAGATCTAAGGATCCTGGTTAAAAGCAACTAACTACTAGAAAACCTGAAGTAGAATGTACCACTTGAGTCACAGCTCTGCTTCCAGCTTTTTGATGATTAATTGGGAAATAAGAGTCTCATGGAGTTTCATTCCTGGACTCCATTTAAACTGAGA